CCCCCACCCCCCGATCCTTGGCCAACTCTTGCCCAACCCCCAACCTGCACCCCAGGCACCCCCTGCCACCGGTTCCCCTTCACCCTCGACCCACCACCCTCTCATTCCTCTTCGGCCCTAGACCCAAGTCTTTCCCCCGCCTCCGGCCCATCGTGCCCCGTCCCCGGACCACCGACTTCAACCTCCGACCCCAAACTTCGACCAGTCCCCTCGACTCTCCACCCATGACCCTCGACCCCTGATCTTGGAACTCGACCGCTGACTCTTGACCCTTGATCCAGAACCCGAACATTGACCACCGACTCCCGTGGGTCCCGGCCCGGAACATTGACCCCGACTCCCAATCCTGATCCCCCCTCCCCCGAGCCATCCCACCCACATGTCCTCTGTAGTGATTGCCTAAATTATTTATAAATGCTCTTGGGACAATATAATTTGTTCACTAATCAAACATCATAAAATAAGTAAAAAAACACTTATTTTCCAGAAAAATATTTTCATTCGTACCAAATACACCCTTAATCATGGTTAGTGATGATAAGACTAACGCACTATAATATATTCATCTGTGCGTGCCAATTATACAAAAGGGAAAAGGAAACTCCCTTTGACCATTCCATTTTTTGATAACCTGGTGACTAAGGAACACAACAACATAGGAATTACTGCTAACTTTTTGTTGATTTGCCTCGGTGTTGCCTGGATGTTCATCCAAGTGTGGAGAAAAAAAGATGAAGAATAAAAAAGGACCAAAAACTGGCCTCTCATTTGATCAGCTGTCAAACAGTTTGTGAATTATGACCAGATGCATACATATATGTCAAATATTCAGTCAACAAGTGTCTTCTTCCCAATGCCGTTCACGATTACTTAGATGGCTCTTCCAACTATCATTGCACACGTTGTCACAAGGTAAACTAATTTAGTACTCGGTTTGTTACATTTTAAGTGATCTTGTTCGACTGGAGACGAAATTTAAGAAATAAATTATATGAAGTTTTTACAACTTATAGTTAAAAAAGTCATAACATTTATTTATAAGATTTTTGAACTTCATGGGCTTAAATATCTTTTATGTGACTAGAATCTTTTCATTAAAAATAAAATGAAATTTTTTTAAAAAGTTCAAGTTAAATTTTTTCAATTTAGAAAGCAATCATTCCTTTTTCAATCGACTAAGAAGAAAATAGCAGCACATAAACCGAAAAAAGGAATTATCCCAAGGTTTTTTCCCTTTTCCCTTTTATTGTTTGATAAGTTTCTCATCATTATCCGTTCAATTCTCATCTCTGTCATTTTCTATAAGTCCTCTGTATAGCCCGACTGAATGGCTGTAAAGGATTTACCATAAAGCAATTAGTCTAATTAATCATTAGTCCAAGTATGTGGGAGAAGACAGAGAGATTTTTTGGGCGTCATTCATGCACAATCAAGAACCTATTTTCTCTGCCTAAGTTATTGCCTGTTTGGCCAAGCTTCTTTTTGGCCAAAGGTGCTTTTTTTTTGCCAAATGCACTTTTGGCCAAAAATTGAGGTGTTTGGTCAAGCTTTTGGAAGGAAAAAAAGTGCTTTTGAGGAGAAGCAGAAAAAAGTAGCTTCTCTCCAAAAGCACTTTTTTGAGAAGCACTTTTGAGAAAAATACACTTAGAAGCAGTTTTTTAAAGCTTGGCCAAACACTAATTGCTGCTCAGAAGTGCTTTTCAAACTAATTAGCCAAACACAAACTGCTTCTCACCAAAAGTACTTTTGAAAAAAGAACTTTTGAAGAAAAGCACTTCTCAAAATAAGCTGATTTTTGCAGCTTGGCCAAACGGGCTATTAGTCTTCTCTCTTTCTGCTTGAAAATGATTGTTCTTGGTTTGGTTTTGGGTGAAGTATTCCAAATATTCCTGATTGAGGTTTGGCCTGGAGATGGCATCTTTAATGTGGATGGTGAGCTTTAGAGGAAACAAAGAAAGACAGCTAGCTTTGAGTTCACAATAATCTAAGATATTTTAGACTAAAGTTCTGTATTATTCTATACGCAATAGAATGTGGGATAAGTGTACATGTATTGGGAATACATGGACGATAGTATCTAAAGCTAAAAATGACACAAATTAGACAATCCCTACATCAATCCGTGAATTATGATTATTCATCGCATAGCAATTCTTGCATTATTATTCATCGCATAATATTTCGCGCATTATGATTCACCTCATAAAAGTTTCTAGCTTAGAATCCCCGCATATTAGATTGTAAACCAAAATACCTCTAACAATATTCTAAGTCAAGCATATATCTTTCATTAAGGGATCTTTAGATAAGTAGTCGGCTGGATTCTCTGTTTACTTTTCCTAATTATTATACGTAGATTATACATAAATTATAAACGATTATATATGAATTATAAATATTATATATTTGCTAGTTATTTTTAGTTTAAATGGTTAGGAGGACGGTTATTTAGGTTAATTCTTCTCGAGAAGTATACATGTTTGTAGGCCATTAGCTACTAGGCTACAAAATGAGGCTAGTCTTCTTGGTTGGTTTCAAAGTAAACAGGCCAGCCCAAAAGCCTGTACATAACTAGAACAGATGCCTCTTGAGAATTTTACCTAGGGATGTCAAATTTGGCCCAAGCCTAAGTGATCCACCCAACCCGCCCAAGGTTGGGCTGATTATTGACCCGCTCATTTATTGAACTCAACCCATCTTGACCCACCTCTTTTAACTCATTTAAAGTTGGATTGATTTTTAATCCAAATAGATTCATGAGTAACTTTGCCAAAATACCTGAGAAATAAATTTGTTTTTTGTTTGATATGTTATATATGACCATAACAAAACAAAAAAGTCTTATTTAGTAATTATACAATTCATAAGAAAACATCATATATTAACTAAAAATTGATAAGAGCTGGGCGGGTTGGGTTATGACCCATAATTTAGCCAATCTTGACCCAACTCATCTTAGCCCAAGTAACTTTTGGCCCGCCCAATTATTAACTCAACCCATTTTGCCCGCCAAAAATCGACCAAACCCGCCCATTTGACGCCCCTAATTTTACCCAACACAAGTCTGTTGGAGGAAAAGATCACTCTTCAATAACAAATAAAGAGGATAAAGAAATGCCAAGTCACCAAAAGCTAAGGTCCATTTTGAATTCAGGGGAAGCAATTATTATCCAACCAAAAATACTTACCCAAAACTCAGCTACGGACATTACATTTCAAAGCAACTCTCTTTAACTTAGTAACACAAAAATGAGCACCTTTACAAATCCTGCAACTTTGTTACATCCAAAAATCACCATAACCAAAACTCATCACACAAAATACAACACATTACCCAAAATCCAAGCAAACTTATCAGCTGATGAAGAAAAAATTTCGTGCAGGCGAAAACTTGTCACGACATTTGTAGCCACTTCATTGACACTAGGCCTACAATCAACCCCATTAGCATTAGCTGAAAATTGGGGCGTTCGATCATTTTTAAGAGAACATTTCTTCGAGCCCGGGTTATCCCCTGAAGATGCAGTAGCACGAATTCGTCAAACAGCAGATGGACTACATAGCATTAAGGAAATGTTGGAAACCATGTCATGGAGGTATGTCTTGTTTTACATTCGTCTTAAATCAGCTTATCTTAAGCAGGATATGAAGAATGCCTTGTCCAGGGTGCCTGAAAGCCGAAAAGAGGCTTTTGTTAAAACTGCTAATGAGCTGACTGATAACATGGCTGAGGTACTGTCCTATTTCCTTATCATAGAAAATTTTCAAGACTGGTATGAGTATTTATATGTATTTTCCTTCTTTTTTTTCAGTTTGATTACTATATTCGAACTCCAAAGGTATACGAATCTCGTGTATTTTATGAGAAGACACTGAAATCAATTGATGAATTGGTGGCATTACTTGCATAATATCAAGAGTTTGCACATCAGAGGTGAGTGAATGGTACGAAAATCGCGTTGGATTAGCAAATGTAATGAGACTGCTTCAGTAAGTGGTGAAGAAATATTGAAATTATATACAATAGCAGTTGAAATAGTCTCATTTCATGTTCATTAGTTTGTTCAGAAAAGGAAAAGGAAAAGGTTCCTTTGGCTTTCTTCAATTAGCAAATTGAAGGCTATGAGTATATAATTTGGATGGCCATTTCTGAAACCATCTATATTGTAAATAACAGTTTCTGCTTATTGAAATGTGGATTGTTCTTAAGATTTTGAAGATGAATACTCATGTTAACAGACGCGAATCCAGGATTTAAATTCTGTGGGTTCAGCTTTTAAGATTTTTTCAACATTGAACCCGCTATATTTTTAAAGTTACGAGCTCATATCCACTATTTTTGTAATTTTATTAAATTTTTACTCCACGTCGAAAGTTATGGGTTCAGTTGAACCCGTTGCTAACACACTTCATCCGCCCCTGCTCCTGTATATTTCCGAGTATTACAAAACATAGCAGAAAACAGGAAATCTTTTCATTTTTGAATATTCATGGGGATAAATGACATCTTGACACAAGTTTCATGTTGTGAAAAGTACAATGTAATGCAACTCATGAAACTAACAATTCAAAACACAATACACACAAACAGAATCACAAAGGCTAGCAATTGCAAATGTAGCCAGTTTTTTTTAACAATTTAGCGCCTGGATAGCGCGATAGCTGACAAAATAATAAGGAGAACAAGCAACGCCATTGCACCAAAAGATCCAATGAGAGATCCAGCAGAACGCTGGCAGAAATCTGTATACTGTTGACATATCGAAAACCAGTTAGTTGAAGTATTCCCATTATGTGCTAAATACACAATCGCGGCTGCTGCTGATGCTCCAGATGTGATAAAAACCAGCATTATCTTCAAATTCAAAAGTATAAAAAATATCAGCACAATTTCATAAGCTTGCAATAAGTTTAAATACGAAGTAACTATATGTTTATATAGTAAAAATTTAATACATTACCGCGTCTAGAAAAATGAGCAAAACTCTGCTCTTTCCTGCTCTTCTTCTGATAATATGAAAGATAGAAATAGGGATAGAAAGAGCAAGATATCCACAAGTTATAGCATTCACAATGACAAAGAACCTTTACCACAAAACAAAAATAATGAGTTAGTTAACATTTCAATACAATCTAACAACACCAACAACAACAAGAACCCTCTATAATCCCACCAATGGGGTTTGGGGAGGGTAGTGTGTACGCAAACCTTACCCCTACCAGTGGAGTCTGAGGAGGGTAGTGTGTACGCAAACCTTACCCCTACCAGTGGAGTCTGAGCAGGGTAGTGTGTACACAAACCTTACCCCTACTAGTGAGGTCCGGGGAGGGTAGTGTGTACGCAAACCTTACCCCTAGAGAGGCTGTTTCCGATAGACCATCGGGCCTCGACATCCCGTCCGTCCAAGAACTCCCCACCTTGCTCTTGGGGTGACTCGAACTCACAACCTCTTGGTTGGAAGTCGAGTGTGCTCACCACTAGAGCAACCCACTCTTGTCAAATACAATCTAACAACAATTTTTTTTTTTTTTTTTTTTTTTACGAAGTTGATTATGTTTGG